ATTCCACAGTCCAATCAAAAAGTGGCAGGTGAAAAAAAACAGGAACAAAGGTTTCTGTGGCTTTAAGATAAGACAGTAAGTGTGTCTTGGGGTCAAAGGCTAAAGTGTCAGCTTTTATCACTTAAAACATTGTTGCGTACATCCATCAAAAGTATCTGATGCTTCAGTCAAACACACAGGATCAGTGATGGGACATAAACGCCTACAGACCGGTGTCATTAAAACAAGCTGACCTAGGGCTACGACGTACAGGGTCAACAGGACCATGTGAGACATCAACAGGGAAAAACTACTTTAATTACGTCTAAAAAGCTAATTAAAAACACAAACTGACATGGGCTACTTTGTCTGTGCGGTCATGCTGGGAGACACTTTGACCTTCACCAAAGTGTAACCTCTTAAAAGGGTTGAGAGTAGATGATGGACACATATTGTACAGTGGAGTCCCATAGTGACCTTAATCTTGTGATATGTCACTCAAATCCTCAATGACTGTCAAGTTAAAAGAGATTAAAATCTGATCTGCAACAGAGAAAACGGAACACACAATCAGTCACACACACACACACCGTTGTATTCAACCACAGACTTCATTCTGCAACCACAGCCTGCAACAAAGACGGCTCAGTCCATTTGCAATACACAATCTATGTATCAGGCTTTGTGTTCATAGCTGTGTTTAAACACCATCTTAAAGAATCCTTGTCCCATTTTGAATAATATCCAGGATGCACTACCACTTTTGACCACCAAGTATTTGTCTCATAAATGTAAAATATGATTTAAATGTCAGCTACACCTCTCATGAATTCACTCTTTTTTAACACCATTCTGATTTTTCATATTATTCCACATTAAGTAAATAATTAGACCCGAACAAGGAACGTGGATAGTGAAATACTGTATCTCCATTTTATCTCAGAATTTCAGCTTTCTCAAAAAGAACATTAGACATGTCTTAAATTGAAAGGTTGACACATCGGAGGAGAACTGCAGCTTTCACTAGCTGGAATAATGGGTGTTCACCATTCAGATTCAGGTATTTTTGAAACCCATCCTCAAGATAGCCACAATGCTAAAACACATATATTGGTGAAAGTCGTCACTGTGCTAATATACTGTGTGCTGGATGTCATGTGACTGACACTGTGGCAAAGAGTCATTAAATACAGTCTGTGAAGACATGTAGAAAAAGCAGGAGAATAAATAAGCACTTATAGTGCAGTCGCATCCCTGGCTGACACTGGGCTGCTGCAGCTCTGAGGCCACTCAGAGTAATGGCTTCATGTTAATGGGCTGGCTGTCTCAAAGACTTGCCCTGGGTCATTTGAACCATTGGGCTGAACTGCTGACTCCCACCGGTGTGATGGAGAGGAAAAGAGAAGCATCATTTCGAGCTATTTTTAACGACCAATGTTTGTTTCAGAACATGTGAACGTGAAGCGGCGGCGTCCAGAGCCACACACGATAAATGTTGGTGTCAGAACCAAACAGGAGGCTGGCATCGCTCAAGGTGACCGTCTGCTTCGGCCTTCATCGGCTACGGCCAAAGCATAATGTCGCCCCTGGCAACAGGATGTCACCCTGGCTCAGAGCCAAGCTGAGGATTTGTGCCAGTACCACAAGCAATCAGGGGCTTAAAACTGTGCAGCCTGCTCTGCTTTTTTTAGCGAGTCATGTAATTTCAAGCCTCTTTTTATGACTTTTCTTAATGCAGCTTGTTACGACCCATTAATCTGGTCATTTTTTTGTGTGACATCATGACCTTTTCCTTCTAGGGATTTCCGTGAACTAAGCATCTTAACTGATGAAAAAAATATTATTGTGGGCTTTAATTAAAATTACTCAAATGGTGGGTCTGCCTTCAAAATGATCACAATAATAAAGCCAACAGGTTCACAGGACTGTTGCAGGGTTAGGATAACTAACCAGCAACTAACCAGTGCAGAAAGACCAACAGCCGTGCAGACAAAAATAACCTGAAGTGGAAGATCACGTGAAACTGAGTGAACTTCTTCTCCTAACAGGCATGCAGATGGTAAAACCCTGAGTTTTCAGCTTGACTGTGTCTGTTCCACCCATGACAGAGAAAACAGGTGAGAAACTGGAAAAGAGATAGAAAAAACACGTGCCTCCGTTTTCTCATTAATGAGAGACAACAAACAGCCAAATTCCTCAGCATATGGAGGAGTTCAGACTGGGAGGTGTTCAAAGAGCCTTTGCCATTTTCTGCCATATGGTGTCACTAATTGCTGTTTTTTCACCACAACAGAGAGGTAGACCAAAAAGAGAGGATTGAGGAAAGATAAAGAAAAGACAAAAAAAAAAACCAAACTGGGGCAGAACTTTTGATGTCACATGGAGTGGATTCTCAAAGCTCCTGAACTTGGTCTGAGTTTGTTTTTCAGTCTGGTGACTTGTGGGTTGGACCTATTTTTAGAGCAAAATATAGATAAAGCTGCTAAAGAATATTCAAACCAATAACAGTAACAAGTTCCATGAGACGTACCCCACAACTCTGACAAATGTGAACCAAGGTTCCTTGAAGACAGAATACTTTGATTCCATTTAAAGCCATGACTTGTCATCTTCCATTCAGACTCTGAGCTGTTTCATGTTTCTACTACTGAGAGCATTAATGATCCTCTGTGATTCCAACTTAAGTGTCTTCATGACAACATCACAGGTCCAGGCCTGGTGTCCCAGGAGACAAGCAGCAACTGGGACACGTGCATTAAAACCACACGTCAAATCAGATCCATGTGTCATCATGTGATCATGTGCTTTACACTCAGCACGCAGAGTGGAACATGAAGAATACTATAACTAATGACCAAGTTAATCAATAGACACAGTCAGAGTCGATGAACAACATGACATACGTCTATGGGACGGGGAATTAACCTTCTAAATGAGGTCGCTTAAGAGACTGATTTGTTGCAGTTGTTTTGGCAATTTTGTCAGCAGTCAACTCGGAATAAAGAATAAAACAGAAAATTAACAATGTTGTTCGTTTTAAAGAGTTTATTACAGAATTTATAGAAAGTTGTTATCGTAGCTTTAATGAAGGGGCGCAGGTCTTACAGAGAGCGACACCAGCACTGGTCTGTACGTTTATAGTGTGCTGGATACATATGTGTGTGCGTACAAGAATATGAGTGGGGGCCAGTGCCTTCAGTACCATCGCCACCTGTGAGGTTATCTGGCCTAACAGAAACAGAGTACGTGCATACCATTTTTAAGGTCTTACAGGAACTGCATTTCCCATCACTGGCTTGCACGCATAAGGTCAGACTGGATCTCAACAACTGTACAACTCTGTGGAAAATACATGTGGAACTTTTTTCCCAGTCTTTCAGAGAATATTTTTAATATAAATTTACTTTTATTTCTTTAGCCTATCTGTTTTCCCACTGGCCACCTGCTGTAACCTTCTGACAACCTTGACAACCTTCAGCCACCTTTATGTAATAACAACAAAACTCCTCTTATCTGAGCGCGTTACATGTCATGAGACAAACACCACACGGCAACAACAGTTTGGTGGCTTTAGATAAGGACAGATAAACAGATACACTGTGTGAAGAGCCGTTTTTAGAACACGCCGCACTAATCACAAAACTGTCAAATGTTGTCTTGTAATGTTTTCTACAGAATGTATTTAAATAATGAGATGTGGATTTGCTTGAGGTTAAATATTCTCCTAAATATTCTCCATAAACAGAACCCTTTGTAGAGTTGAACAGAGACAATAATTTTTCCTGGAGATAATAGAAGAGCAGGCAGCTCTTCAGCACAGATGAAGGAAGAGTTCAATCCCCCCAAAAAATCTGTGATGTGACCGAAAAAAGGCTGTGTACGGCATACCGCAAAAACGTTCTTTTTTTGTGAGAGAAAGGGTGAATAAAAGGTACAAATATTGACAGACGGTGTTAAAAAAGAGAGCTATAGTAATACGTCAAGTCAAAGTCGACGGCGTCTTCATCTTATTAGTAAGGAACAGTAAAGCAATGCTTCTAAATTTAGATCAATCACAGCACAGGCAGGATTCAAAGTGTGAACTCACACCTGCACCGAGTGATGCAGAGGAGCCACGTGGCTGATGATGCTGCTCTCCTGCTCTCGCAAAAACTGCCACTTCAGAGGCAGCACAGGAGGCAGCCATATTGGATCTGGGCTCCAGCATCACCTGACTTTTCCTGTCAAGTGTCATTAGTCCAGCTGTGTCAGTGGGTACTGTGTTACTTCACAGCACAGATAAGCGGTGCTGAGAGTAGGAGGCTCATTCACAGTACGTATCGAAAATGAAATAAAATGATCATTATTCACATCTGGGGGGCTTCTGGTTTTGATATAAGGCTGGGTGTGTAACCGTACAAGCCTAAGGGAGCTGTGCAGTAGATACAGGAGGACGAGGATTTGATTATCTGTCCTCCTGCTGCTGCAGAGTCCAGATCAGCTGGAGATTAGTGAACTTTTGTCTGATTTCACTGACTGGTAATTTGCATTTATGTGCGGATTAGTATGGCGACCAAGTCCAGCCAGGATGCAAACACAAGCCCTGATAATTCTTACTGTATAATACACATAAATATTCAATGCAACTTACAATTAAAAAGGAAAAACAATCCACCAAAACCAACTAATGCATTTAAAACAAACAAATGTTGACATAATGGTACTAATAAAAAATGTCCAGCACACAAATGTTGACATAATGGTACTAATAATGTCCAGCAGACTGACACGATGCTGTGACATTGTCATTCTTGTCCTTCACATTACCACATGTTTGGTTATCAGTGTTACACCTAATTCCAATAATGCAGACATAACACTCACAGTGTAAGGAGCAGAAAAGATAGAATTCACATCTTGTATCAGTAACAGTCTCTTCAGCCCATGCTGTTTTTGCTGTGTCATGCCAAGCACCAGGTCACCTCTAAAAGAGCTGCAAACCCAGATGGAGCAGCAGGACTGAGTAAGCAGTTTACACCTACCTTGCAGCTTCTGCATCACGTTGGCGATATCCCGAGCAGTGTGTCCGGTGTAGTGCCGGGGTGATGTCATGCTGCTGTTCTAAGGTCACCGGAGTCAAGTCCCGACTCCTGCCTGTCGGTCCGTCCTGATGCGAATCTGGAAGATTCAAACAGAGTCACAGTGCTGTTCCTGTCCTCAGTCAGTCTGCAGCATGTCATGTCTGAATGATGTCCAAGTTGATGTGTTTCTCCTCTCAAGTCATCCCTGTTGCAGCATCAGTCTGCATTCCTCAAGCTGTGAAACTCCTCCCCCTGATGATGATGTAAGCGCATCCTGAATGTGTATGAAAGCATGAGTGTGTGTGTGTGTGTATGTGTGTGTTGAACAAACCAGTAGTGCCCTCCCTTGTCTTTCTCTCCACAGATAGGACAGCGTCCTGGTCTGCGCTGTGCTGCCACCTGCTGTCCAATTAAAAGAGTGCGACACGTCCTCTCGTGCCTGATGCTGCAAAACAGTTTCCATGTTAGCGTGTTATTGTATTTGTTAACTACTTATAACTATGTATTTCTTGTACTATATATATTTTTTTCAAATGCTGTAGAGGACAAACATCACAAGCCAACTAAACTAACAAATCGTCAGAATGATCGAGGTAAAGATTTCATTGCATAAACACATATCCAATTATTATACTGCTACGAAATAATTCTTTTTTTAAACAACAACAAGGACCTAATCGTTTCTCACCGAGGTCTTCAGTGTTCAGCAAACAAATCCACATCCTATATATTTTTTTGTTTTACTTTTTTCCATCTCCATCCTAATGATGAACGATCAGTCTCTCCGACTCCTGTCGCATTTATGGCCTACAGTAGGTTTTAAATCACTTTAGGCTGAAGATGTTCGCTCGTCAGTGGAGAAGTTAACTCAGAGAGAAGTGATGAATTATCGAGCGGACATGTTGATAATGCTAGTTTACTACGTGTGTCCAATCAGATCACTCAAATCGCCAACGCGCCGACATAAAAGCCTTGATATGCCAACTCTGATTGGTTAAAGAAACAATCTTGTTGCTATTTGGTTTAGGCTTTTTAACAGAGAATTAAAGACATTTTAAATATTTTAAAACATAATAAAAAGCTGCTTTATAATTTAAAAAAAAATTTAATCGTCATTTAGTCATTGCTAAGTTGACTAATTAGTGCAGATCTAAGGTCTACAAAAATGCTGTAGAGGACAAACATCACAAGCCAACTAAACTAACAAATCGTCAGAATGGTCGAGGTAAAGATTTCATTGCATAAACACATATCCAATTATTATACTGCTACGAAATAATTATTTTTTTAAACAACAACAAGGACCTAATCGTTTCTCACCGAGGTCTTCAGTGTTCAGCAAACAAATCCACATCCTATATTTTTTTGTTTTACTTTTTTCCATCTCCATCCTAATGATGAACGATCAGTCTCTCCGACTCCTGTCGCATTTATGGCCTACAGTAGGTTTTAAATCACTTTAGGCTGAAGATGTTCGCTCGTCAGTGGAGAAGTTAACTCAGAGAGAAGTGATGAATTATCGAGCGGACATGTTGATAGATGCTAGTTTACTACGTGTGTCCAATCAGATCACTCAAATCGCCAACGCGCCGACATAAAAGCCTTGATATGCCAACTCTGATTGGTTAAAGAAACAATCTTGTTGCTATTTGGTTTAGGCTTTTTAACAGAGAATTAAAGACATTTTAAATATTTTAAAACATAATAAAAAACTGCTTTATAATTAAAAAAACATTTTTGATCGTCATTTAGTCATTGCTAAGTTGACTAATTAGTGCAGATCTAAGGTTTACAAAAATGTCCTCCCATTTATACAAGTACACAAGGTTACTGGATATCTGTATATTGTATTTCTTATTAAAGAAGTATTAATTCCTCATTTTTGACACCTACTCATATGTTACACTTATATGAATCCTTCTCTCTGTGAAATACTGTCACCACAGTTGTAAAAATATAATGGCTTTAGGTTTATGAATCATAACATATCAGAATTAATGTACTGACTCAGTACTTTAACCTGTGCTACACTGACGTTACTATATGTATGTTATAACCTCCATGATTCATCATCCCACCATCATCAACACAGTCTCCTACGGAAAGGTTTATTTTTTTAAATACAATGCAGATGGAAGAGGAAAAAAAATCAGTAGCTAATCAATAATCCCAAATCCCTACGCCAATAAAAACCAATGTCCACAATTGTGCTGGTCCTCAGCAGATCAATGGGACTCAAGGAGAGAGAAGTGATGAAACCACTCGACTGTGAGCACTTGTCACTATGTGCAATCCTATTAGACAAGTTCTTTCATCATCATCATCATCATCATCATCATCATCATCATCATCATCTCAGGAGAGCTTTTAGAGCAGCCAAAAAAAAGAAGCTTTTGTTCCCACAGCCACCATGACATTCAATAAAAGGAGAGAGAGAGAAACTGGCACGAAAACTACTAAAATTGATAGATGATGGTGGTCGCATCCTCGCCTCCGTTTGAGTGTATGAGCTGAGGATTTAGTGTATGGTGTGGTGAAAATTTAATTAATCAAAGTACATGTCTGCCACATATAATTTGTTGCGCAGCTTCACGTTGGTTAAATGGTGGGAATGGGATCAAGTAAACCAGAGTGGAGGGTTAGCATTGGTCAATAAACAGAAGGGTTAAAAAATAAAACCCTATATTTAATATTAGGTATCAAATAAATTGATTATTGTGATTTTTATTTTTTTACTTTTTAACTAATAAGCAAATACCCAAAAATCTTTATTGTAATCTTTTTCACATTGACAATAAAAATAAAAGCTAAGCTTTGGTAGTCTACCCAGCAACTACAAAAATCACACATACACCAACAAAACCCATTTTGGGTTAAGGCTGTTGGTCTCTGCTCGTCCGACTTCCCATGTACTGTAAATATTGCAGGATTTAGCCGGATTGCTTGGCTCCTCTGCAGCAGGGACAGACTGCTGATTCTTACATTTTTCACGCAGCTCAGCTCGGGGTGACCTCTACCGTCCACAGCCCCTCAGGACCAGACACATTCAGCAAAAGAGAGGCGAGACACTGCTGCAGCAAAGAGCAGAGACAAAGCAAGCAGGTCAATAGGAAAACCTTTCCCTGTTAGAACCCGTTTTCTTATCTAACCGTTACACAGGCACAGAGCTGGGACCTGGACCGACAGGGTGGTAATCTCTTTCATGCACCATCAGCAGTTTCCTAAAATCTCAATAGAAAGTTTACTGTCAGCCTGCAAGTTACAATCAACATAATGTCAAAAGAGGGAACGAGAGAGTCCTGCCACTCTATTTAATCTACTGCAAATTCAGCGATCTGAGAAGCTATTTGAAGGGAACGGGTCATGTTTGTGAAGCTGAGCGTGTGAGGAACTAAACTGCCAGAAAACATGCTGCTTTACAGTATTTTTAAAATACTGGAAATATTTAAAACCTACAGTGGGGTTTGTGTGTGTGTGTTATTTTAGCTGGGACTACTTTACAGTCTTTAAACAATGTTCTAATTTTCCACTTATACTTTAGAACACCGTGTGAATTAATTCCAAGCCTTTCAACCAGGTCTGTGAACTATAGGTCAGTGTTTATATTACTGCACTTTAAAGGAAAGAAAAAATACTTAATTACCCCTTTAAATTATAGACTGGCTCATCATTATCGTTACACAGAGCAGTAAAAATGATGTGGAATTTACTCATTGCCCATTTTCCACTGTAATTCATGAAAATGGCCGAAGGTTTTTGCAGCTCATGCAAAAAGGAAACACATTCCTGGAAACTGTCTTACTGTATATCAGAGCAGAGAGTGGAAGCTGTACAACACATTAGATGAAGGGTTTGTGTTGTGGCCTTACAACAAGAGGATCATCAGAGGTTCGATCCCTGATCTTTTGGTATATATAATCTCCCTCCATGTGTGGTTTCCTTTATTACGTCTTCATAAAACAATGAAACACTGTAAAGGTGTATTCATTGTATTAATAGTGTTAATTCTGAACCCTATTCTCCCACGATCCCTGCTTCAATTGGCTTCAGAGCGTCCTGCGACCCTAAAATGATTAAGCGATAGGTAATGAATGGAAGAAAAAAAATCTTTGTGCGTTTGATTATTAGATCACATTTCAGAGTGAAGAAATGCCTTTGACTCACAAGACAGAAAACAAAACCGCACTATAAAAACACTCGAGGCCAGATCTAAAAAAAAGAGAAAAAAAACACATAACACATAACAACAATAAAGTGGTTAGTTCTGTGTGTATTTGCCTTTTGTTCCTGTGTTTTTAGGACACTATGAAGCAGACACGGTCCGTGGTTTTCATGGACAGAATGAGTAAAGGACTAAATAGGAGACGCTTCTAAATCATGATAAAGAAACACCTCCATCTACTGGTGAATCAGGGAACACTGATGGGTGTCATTTTTCTCAAAATATATTATTTCCACCCAAACTGTAAAAAATAAATTACAATGAATTTTGCATGTACTAGCAAATTACCTCCTAAAACTTTAAATAGTGGTCATAAAAGTAGGTCATAAAACTCAATGACCTTATGTTTTTTTTTAAGTCAGTGGCTGCTGAATCTACACGAACCTAAACCCTGTGACTCATAACTGAAGTTTCTCTTCCCTTTAGTTATTTGACATGAGTGTTGTGTTTGTGTTTCATATGTGGTTCCCTTTAATGTTTTTTTCATGGTTTCTGTATCCTGATGTGGTGGAACTACAGTACAGAAAGTATCGCTGCAGTATGTTGTGTTTACTTTGTTGCTATTCTTGCTCAGCACTCAGCTGGAAGAGAGGTATAAATCTTAAAACGGGACTAACTTTGAGGAATAGAGGTTAAAAAACGAAATGATGAAAAACAGATCTTACATTGATCAAGTCTGAGTGCTTTGTCCAACGACAGGTTGTAGTCACAGACTGATGCCATAAATCTCAACAAATTGTTTTTGAACAGAATACGGTGCAACTGTTGCTAAAAACAATGGGAGAACACAATATGATGGAGTTATTTTAGGGATGTTTCACAGCAGAGGCAAAGTATTTAAGGAAGATCATGCCCTGGTCGTTCTTTTTTTGAGCCAGTGAGAAGACCAACCGCTTCCTGAAACACTTTTAAAAATATTGGACATCTGTCAATATGATTCACTGAACTGTGTGCTGATATGAAAGAGAAATCAAACAGTGATGAAGCTAATGGAATGATCTGCATCTAGATACAACCCAATAAGACGACTTGCAGTCTTCCTACTGTGCACTGATGACACTGCAGATTTGACTTGAGGGGATGATTAAAATAATGCTGAGTGTGAGACGGGGGGAGGTGTAACATGAGTAACTCCAACTTTACTCGATTCATTCTGATTCGTCACAGAAGAAAAACCAAATGAGGTGGAACATGTTGTTGTGTTTAAAGAGTTTTGTTCGCAACGGTGTTTTACTGGACCATGACAGCTGAAAAAGGACGAAATGTTCAGAGGAGACATTTTGGAAACTGGCAGGCATCATGGAAAAGCTGAACTTACTTGCAAAGACATTCACATCGAAACGCCAGGAGCAGTCAATAATTTACCAGAAAATAATATTAATATTTTGCATTAGTGCATTCATGTAAATAAAAGGCTTACAGAACTGCAACCATTAATTCCAGCTATGGTTTGGCTTTTAACAGACAGATTAAACACATGACTGTAACTGCTGCTGCAACTAATAGGACAAAGATGATGATGATAATTGTAAAGTGCAATTTCCAACGGTGAAAGCTGATGACCTACAATGACAGTAACAGTTACATTCTCTTTGTCAAAATGCTACTGGTTGTTAACATACATTTTTCCATCTTGAAGCTGTAACTTTTTAAAGAAATAAAATAAAAACTAACTGAATCTATATACAATGAGGAGTAAAAAAACAATTATTTTAATCTTTTGTGGGAGCAGAATCCTACATGAGCCCATTCTTAACTAGAGAATGCTTAATATCGAATGTGATGAAAAAATCAAAACGTAGAACCAAATGTCTATTAGGTAATTTATCATCACTTTCAATGTACTGTATGGACAGACAGCTAACAAACACTGTCCAACAAAAGTCTGTTCACAGACTTCAGTAAATCATTACACATCCAGCCTTTAAAAGTCGATTCCAAGTCTGAGTCAAGTCCTTGAGTTTCCCAGTCCAAGCTGTCACATTTAGTCCAAAATATAGTGCAAGTTTTCGTGGTTGATGTGTTTCCAAAGATGAAATCACTCTCTGTGGCATTGCTCAGGTCAGTGCTACTCCAGGCTGACTTGGTCAGAGTGCTGGACCTGACGCTACAGCACAGATTGTAGGTCTGATTAAAGATGGAAACATTTCTAAAACAATTTCCTCCCTGGAGGTCACTGTACTTGACGACACATTGCGTTAAAATAGGTGTATGTTGAAATATTATGTAGAGGGTAAAGAATGCCATCATTTCCCCCAGGTTGATAAATGTAAACCAGTGGTTTACGTTTATCAACCTGGAGGAAATGATGGGACAGGAAGCGAATACAGCAACACCCCGTCTCCCCACTTTCAGGATTTCTGTCCTGCACAGATAAGCCACTCCTGTTGCTAAATTCAAGCAGAAAGGCAGGAAACGTGACATTGTAGTTTTCCGCTCCCATAAACAAGGAGGACGGCCGCAGTTCGCTGGCAGTCCTGTGTGTGCCTGTGAGTGCACAGACACGCTGACAGGGAAAGTGAGCAGAGAGCTGCAAGAGGGAGAAAGTTAGAGACGGGTGAGCAGGAAGAGAGGGAAAACTCATATGGAAAAGAGTGAGACAGGAAAGAACTGATTGAAGAGAAGGAGCAGGAAGAAGAAGAGAGGAAGAAGAGGCTTCTTCTGTGACAAGAGATAAAAGCCATGGCTGAAAATAACACTAATTTGTTTCTGGAAATACTGGAGTCTTTTGATGCCGGTGAGTTTTTCTCCTTGTCTTTCTTTGCGATCAATTTGACTCTCACTGTTGTTATCTGTGGAATTTAAGCCTTTAACACCATGAGCACTGATTTCCATTACAATGTCTGACCCTATTCACTTTAGTTATAAGTTGCTAAGATGACTTAATCCAATGCCTTAAAATACAGCCGCAGTGACTTTTCCTGAAGTTTTCCTAAATGTCATTTCCAGATGACATTTGACCAGTGTCTACTTTCCCTTCCATAAAGTCACAAAAAACCCAAGTGGAAACATGGACAGTTTACAAAAAAACCCAAGTAAATAAGTAAGTTTATAACAAGTAAAGTTATTAAACGGAAATTGATTTATTTTCTTTGGCTAAGGTCCAGAAGGTTTTGTCCCAGCCACTGCATTCTCTCTCCAGCACGATGGTGTTGGCATCACGGCTTCTGAAGCAAAAAGCAGTGAGCATAAGTCAGTGCTCTTCTTGTGGCAGAGAAATGCAATCAGTTTGCTGTCTCTAAATGAAAACCCATTATTATTCTGTCGAGACAAACAGTCTTCAACAAATCCTGCTGGCATTGATTTGTTTTTGTTTTGTTTTGTTTTGTTTTGTTTTTTGTATAAACAGATGTTTTTTGTGATCTTGGTGAGGCCAGAGATTCTAATTTGAATTCTTTCCATTTCTGGAGGATGATATAAAAGTCGTCCCATAAAAGGAGAGAAAATGCTGTCAGTTATGTCAAACCTGTTTTAATCTGTTATTACAAAATCACTGCAGCCAAAGTAACACACAGCCAGGGGGGTGTCCTTGCTCTGTATAAAAGCATACCTAAACTGTGAACTCAACTGTAACTTTGTCTTCTACTGTCAAACCAATTCTGAGCAAACAACGCTTCTTGAGGCCATATGGGAAATGCTAATAAAAAATATTGCAGCACGCACCATAAAATGTTCTCTTTCTGTCCACAGTCCCTCTGATCATTGCCTTCTGTGTGTCTATGGCTGTGGGCCTGGTACTGGGGGCCGTAGTTTATGTCATCTTGACCTGGATGTCCAGACGCAAAGCGGGCTCTGCCAGCATCACCCGCCGCCCACCTCGTCAACCACGCAACACCTCATGCAACCGCCCTGGCTTTAACCGCAACAGCAGCTATGACCGGCGCAGCAACAACAGTTTAATCAGCGCTGCCTTCAGCTTTCACCGCCAGAATTCTTCCCAAGATCAACTGGACCCAATGGGGCACAAATCCAACCTCAGGGTCTCCACTTTCCATCCTCTTCTCCACTGCAGCCAAATTGCCAGGGAAGCAGAGGAGGGGAGCCAGACCACACTGCCTCGGACTCCGACTCTGACCACAACAACGGGATCAGCCCACGCTGTTGACCAGCCGGCTGTCACCCCACCCAGACCAGAGTCATTCTGGGGGAACAACAGTCTCAGAGGTTTCAATATCACCCAGACGCCACCTCCAGCTTATGAGAGCATCATTAGAGCTTATCAGGAAACATGCACCTAAGACATGGGAGGATCAGACTGACAATGAATGGATGAGCCAATGGTTGCATAAGGATTTACAAAAAATATACTGGATTGAAGTTGTTTTGAATTTATACGACCACATGGTGGTACTTGAGGAAACCACAAAAGTATGTAGGTTCAGACATTTGAATGAAACTTTAGCAACACATTCTGTTTTGTTTGCTAAAATATATTTACACTTTAGAAGTTAACACCAACAACAGCATTATCTGATCCTTTCTCCTATTTGGCATTTGCTTCTATCTCTCTGAGAAAAAAACGTCTTCATAAATACCGGACTGATGGGTAACATAATTAACTATTGCCTCCCAGTCTGTCAGCTTCCATTAAATAGATTGCAGATGTGTCAATTACATACAGTATCAGTGGAAAACTCTCTGTGGAAGCAGCTTTTAAAGTCATCTGAAGTTTTAAATTTTCTGCCTGCTTCATGTTTAACAGAGCTCTACTACCTTATATGGATGTTTGTGGTTTCAATCATTAAGGGTGTGTTTGGATGTACAGTATATGTGGGTTGCATGAAAGACGCATAACGAGGGCACTGGGTGCAAGATGTGGTTGAGTGTTTTTACAATGTGTTATTTACAGAACTCATAAGTTAATGCAAGTAAAAAAAGAAAATAAGACTTGTCTTCTGTCTGATTCTTTCTGATCACTGTGTTTACTGTAATCTGCAAAAAAGAAAAAGAAAGAAGATAATTTGGTGAGTTCTAGGAAGTTCAACAGGTCCTAAAAAAGGTGATGATTATATGACAAAAAACAGTATAAAATAACGTATAAATGTTAAGTTAGAAGAGAGGAAACATTTTTGATGTTAACAGATATCTTATTTCAGATCAAACTGTCATCACAGGGTCTCCTCGTAGTTGAGAAAAAGTTGAGCAGTACATTTTCCAATATTTTTCCGTAATTCTTGAGACAAAGGAACAATTAATTTGTCAAAAATGATGATCAACAGATTAATTAGGCATAAAGACAATCGATAATTAAACGAATATATTATTGGAGGCGTTAAAAAGTCTTTCTGTAGACCAGCACGTTTTCATCAAATGACCTTTCTCCTCTGTTGTGTTATTTACGGTAGATGACGTCATATTTGTGAGACGTGTTGACGTTACGTGTGTTTCTGAGCAGCAGCCGCTCCAGTGTATCTGCTGGAGCTGGTGAGGAATTTGACAGAGTGGACTTCTTTATAACGCAGTCAGCTGGTCACAAAGGTAATGCTGTTTTTAAAAATATATAATAATAAAAAAATGCGCTAAATTAACTATTAGTCTACCTGTCCTTGAGCTTTACGACGCGCTTGCAGAAAACAAATACTTTGTTAAGGTGTTTTGTCTTAGTGTCCAATGTTAGTTTTGAAATAGTTTGCGAAATGAGTTAGGAATAGTTCATACGGTCTGCTTTAGGGTAAAACTGTGCTGCATAAAAGGCTCAACGACAGTAGCTAACACGGCTAACATTAGCAGGGGAACCTCAAAGTTTATTTTAAAATAATATTTAATATTTATAATTATGTATGACTCTCTCCAAATACCACGACTGTTTTAACAGTTTCAATTCATTTTAAGATAAATAATATTAATACCCACATGTAAAACTAAATTTCTAGTGTTTAGATAACTTCTATCATGTCTCATTAACATTACGTGGACCTAAAACTGTGTATTTACAGGTGGGGGATGTCTGCTGCGGCTCTGCGTCTGATCCACTGCAGGAGACTGAGCACAGCTGGGTCTCCTGGAGTGAAAAAAGCGCTTCAGTGGAAACATTTAAGTAAGTCGGCAGTGTTATGAACGTTGACCTCAGGTCAATATTCTGTCATATATATATATATAATTTATTATAATATATAATTATAAGATATAATATTATATATATATATATATTACTACTGTCTTACCTCGATACTCAAAAGCAGGAGTTGTGAGACGTGTTACTTTGATTGCATTTGCAGCCTCAATTATCATAACAAGACATTGGATTGCAGCCCTGGGCTTGATTAAACAAGGCCAACTCCCACTTCGTCTCTTTTCATTGTTGTTGTCCCACTGCTGCCTTTGTCAGCTAGTTTACAATAGTCCATGTTAAAGGACTATTTAACGTGATTATTATCAGAGACTGAACGCCTCCAACAACATACATTAGTCCAACTTGGGAACCTCAATTAACTGTTTTTTTTAATGTTTTGTAGAAAAGGTTGCTAAAGTTACTGGCGCAGTTGTTCTAGGGTAAGATGATTAAGAGGTTTTATTCTGAAAAATTATATCTAATCTGAAATGTTTACGAGACAGACTTTTCATCATTATCCTTCCACAGAGGCTGTGTTTTTATTACATACGAGGTGGTGTCCTTGGACAAGGCCATGACCATTGACACTAGTGCAATTTTTCAAGAGAAGTACAAGTCTTACATTTATCTGAGAAGCAATCCTACAGATGAGAAGGAGAATCTGGCTACAGGTGAGGAATGTCCTTCTGTCGTATTACATACATAATTCTTTGAATTCTAACACATCTTTTTGCCACATATCAACCGTCTTTCTCAGACTAGCTGAATGACATACGAGCACAGAGCCAAACGGTGTTTGTCATGTCCAGGTGTCCAGTGACATCTGTGGTCGGTCATTCCTTCCTTCCTTTCCTTCCTTCCCTTCACCACTATCTTGTCTGAATATTTGGGTCAGTCTGTTGACTGATCTTATTGTACTTGTCAAGGTTCCTGTTCTTTTAGGGAACAATCACCATCTAACAGATTCTGTAATATCCTGTGAATAAGCATTACTTCAATGATAAAATGTTATCCTGACATGGTAAAGGTCAAATAGAAGGTCATAGTTGTTTTTTTTCATTGTTTTTTAACAGAGTTTACACAGAAAACGAGGAGGGAACTTCACAAAGCGGCAAGGCGATTTCTGGAACTATCATCTAGGCTTTTGTTGCATTCATTAGATGGTAAGAAAAACCAAAATGTTGTCTTCTATCGCAATTCAGCCTAAAAACTACATCTACAGAGTTCAACCAACTGAAGTCATTCCGCATTAGAAAAGCAGAAGCTGTCGCTTCTAGAATTTTATTTTCAGATTGCTTCATTTCCCTTTTCAGTTTTGTAGGATGAGCAGAGCAAGACAGGAGGAAACACCTGCTTTCCATGAGAATGTCCTGTTTTGACTGTGGCATAGCTTGTGTGTTAACATGCGTATTGTGTGACTGTCATACAGTATGTCATGAATGAACACTTTGTATAGTTGTGTGGACACGGAGTTTGTATCGGCTGAACAGCAGCTAATCTGAGGGTGGAATTGTAGAAATTAAAAAATGTAATTCCCAATATTTTAAATATCTTTACTCTCTTTCTCGATGTTCTAGAGCACTTCACCCATGTAGATGCAGACCCTCATGAAGTAGCATTATGGGGCCTGCTGAAACAAACACAGTCCATGAATAAAGCTGTCCGACTACAGGCTGTGCAGGAGCTGGCAGAAAACCACAATTGGCATGGTAAATATCAGAAAAAAACCTTTTGTCAAAATATGTTACTTGAATGACAAATTATGAGTCAATTTTGCAGACTACCAGTATCAAACAGCAGCTCAGGTCATAGACCAGAGAACAGCAGTGGGTCTGGCCCGTGTGCCGCAGGTGGACCTGCGGTTTTTCCTTCCTCCACCCACACTACCTGACCTGGTGGATGTATGTACCTCAGAGTTGAGTCATTTGTTCTGCATTAAGTAGCATGTGTGCTAAATACAACATTCTCCACAGGGTTTGTTGCTAGAGGACGGACTGAGGCGGCTGCTGGCCTCTCTGCCCCAGTCTGAGGTGGACACATGTGTCCAGTTCTTCACCTCACTGGCCCTCAGAGAGAGCAACCAGTCCATGGCAGCACAGAGGGTAAACATAATACATACACGTACTGTTCTCAGGTATTGAGTTAGATGACGGTCTAGTAGGGAGAGAGTATTTTATATATAAAAAAATCTATATATATATGAGGGCTATCACAGAGTTAGGTTTAGGACTGGTTCCTGTTACATGACAACTGAAACAAACAGTTTTTTTTCTACACTATAGGGGGGTCTTTGGTGTTTTGGTGGCAACGGGCTTTCTTATGCCCAGAGCCTCACCTCAGTTCCCTCAGAGAGAGTGGAATCCTTCTGTGTACAGGCACTGGTTCAGCACTCAAAGGTGAGGATGGTCACTGTTCATTCAAATGAGGAGTTTATTGTAATTCTTTTGAAAAGCATTGCTGATGTCAAATATAAAATTCAGAGAAAAAGGCCATTCAGCATTATTTAATTCAAACTAATCCAAGTAGTTTAAAAAAAAGTCTGGTGGCTCTCGAAGAAGTCAAAGATTGTTTTGAACTTACAGAAACTGGTGTCTGTTCTCCACAGGTCCAGAGCCACTGTGACCACATTGTTTCTCATGGAGGCCTGCAGCTGCTCCAGAGGGTTTATCAGCTCCGCAAAGACTCCCTGAAGATACAAAGGAACATCATTCGTATCATCGGGAACCTGGCGCTAAATGACAGTGTTCATCAGGCTATAGCCCAGTCTGGTTAGTCTGGACCACAACAGACTATAACTATAAATGTCTGGATTATTCTGGCCTCAGCAACATTACAATGACTACTCCTTGTTACAGTCTCTGTTCTCTGCCCACCTTCAGGTTGGATCTCAGTCCTGGCTGAAATTATGCAGTCTCCTCACATCATGCAGGCCTCTCACGCAGCTCGTGCTCTAGCCAACCTGGACAGAGAGACTGTAAAAGAGAAATACCAAGACGGCATTTACATCCTCCATCCACAGACTCGTAGCAAGTATGAAAATACTTTTTTCTTGTTGTCATGTGACTTTTAAAATGACTTTCAATTCATTTCACATTTAAATGTGTCCTTCTTAATGTTGTTTACATTTTCAGTGAGCCAATCAAAGCAGATGTGCTGTTCATCCATGGGATTCTAGGGGCAGCTTTTAAGACATGGAGGCAGAAAGATCGCAATACATCAGAAGAAGAGAAGACAGAAAACTCAGATTACTCAGCGTGTTGGCCCAAGGTGTGAAATCCAAAAGATTTTTTCATGTCTTTCCAATTAAAATACAATCCAGTACATATTCACATTTAAGTGTGCTGGCTGACTCATCTATTAGCAAATAATTTCTCACAGCCTTTTACTGTCATTTTCAGTCATGGTTGGCTGCTGACTGCCCAAATCTCAGAATCCTGTCAGTGGAGTACGACAGTCACCTCAGTGACTGGATGGCCCAGTGTCCTGCTGAGAATCAGAGGTGAAGAAAACCGAAAAATACAGAAAATGTGAATAAACTTGATGAACAGCTGCCAACAAAAGGTTTTCAAGCTGACACTGTTGTTAAATTAGACAACAAATCAATAAATCTCCCCATGATGACATTGAGATACGGAACTGCTGTGTGAATTATATGTATCAATATCCATGTATCCCTTAGATTTTTCCCTTGCTTCCTTTTGTCAGACATGTTGATTCTTTGTTTTGTCTCAATCTCTACAGGAAGTCTTTGGCCTTCAGAAGTCAAGAGCTGCTTAACAAGTTAAAGCTAGCAGGAGTCGGAGAGAGGCCTGTGGTCTGGGTCGCCCACAGTATGGGAGGTAAATGCATGTCAGGACTGAAACTGAAAATGATAATTAAGCTGTTGAGCAACACGGTAGCTTCGCAGAGTTTCTGCAAATCTATTGGCTGTTTTTTTCTGTCAGGTTTACTGGTCAAGAAGATGCTGATCGATGCCTCTGAGGATCCTGACATGCAGCAGCTTTTAAAAAACACCAAAGGCGTCATGTTCTACAGTGTTCCCCACCACGGTACCTTCATGGCCGAGTACTCTGTCAATGTCAGATATGTTCTTTTCCCCTCCATAGAGGTCAGAGAGCTGTGTAAAGGTAAACAGACATTGAAAAATCTAAGGTCCCCAACTCTCTGTATTCCTTAAAAGTTCTTCATTTTCTTTTTTGACCTTTGTTGTCCTTGTGTTTGAAGACTCACCAGCTCTGCAGGACCTGAATGAGAAGTTTTTGAACATGGCCAAAGATAGAGAATTCAAGGTGCTGAGCTTCACAGAGACAAAGCCGACAAACATCGGTCCAATGATCAAGATGGTGGTGGTACCAACACAGTCAGCGGGTATGGAATTCTAAAACACAGTGCAGTGTCCTAATGTGTTAAAGCAGTGGGTTTTTTTAATAAGCTACTCTCTCTTTTAGATCTGGGCATCGGAGAAATCATCAAAGTGGACGTGGATCATCTCAACATCTGCAAGCCAGAGAAGAAGAACTCATTCTTGTACAAACGCAGTCTTCAGTTTATCCAAGAAGCCCTGCAGAGCTACATCGGCCACTGACAAACACTGAGAAAACCTACTGTATATTTGAAATGGGGGGAGGAACTATTCTCTTTAACACCCAGTCCAAAGGAAAACATAACTGCCTGTCATTGCACTTTAAAAAACACCTTTACATTCACCACAGTATTATTAAGAGAATCAAATCTACTCTCTACATGAATCTCCTTTGAGACTTCTGACCTGTGAAGGTCAGAAGTCTCAAAGGAGGAGGAGCAGTGCTTTATGAGACACTCATTTTTGTCTTAGTCTTTATAATGAACTTGTAAGTTCATCTGATTTTCATTTACATTTCATTTTTTAAAATCATAACTAATTCAACTTGTTGGTGAGGTCATCAGCAATATCAGATCTTTATATTATCATTTTAAGCAGTGAAACGTGTACGATGCCCGTGCTGTTGGTATTTAAAGACAACAACACTGTCATGTTAAAATTATTCATGTTTTTTTAACCAGTTTTCATTTTTATATTAATAATTTATAATAACACTGTGACAGTCCTATTGTGCCAAATCATGTCATTCTGTTATAATTCAGCTGAATCTGTGTAATTGTTAGTTAGTTTTGCCATATTTATTTTTTGGGGACTAATCACACTATAGGTATTTTTTAATAAGTGGATGGAAGTCCAAACTGTAACTTATCATGCAGACATTGAATAAACCCTGTGTACTGCACATGTTGTTTAACTGCTTTTATTTTTCTCTAAAAGATCATGGATAAAAGTGTTCCGCAATAAGTTTGTATATATATATATACATACAAAATTACAAAAATTACAATCACAAAAAAAAATAACAAAATTGGAATCATCCATTAAAGTAGCCATTGCCAAATAATGGCAGTGATTCTCAAAAGGAACTCAAACAAAACGTGATTACATTCAGTAAAACGTATAGTTAAAAATTTAAATCGACATTTATAAAGTCCGTTTACCCTGCAAAGCCCCCCTTCCCGGCGGCCACAAACGGAAGTGATGTCAGAGTGCTGAAGAAGATTGTCCCTCGGTGCAGAGCGTAGATCCGCTCAAGTATGTAACATTAGCTGCAACAGCGCTAACAACTGGCACTCGGCTAAAAGCGTAAAGAATCTGCTTCTTGCCATTGAAACCTCGTGGGTGTAGTCAGGAATTTCTAAATTAAATGTAAATTAATATATGAAACACTCCCCACTAGAATACAGAGTATCAAGTTAGATTTCACGTTTTCTCAGCTCTGAAATTTTCTTCGTGTCAAACATGGTTAACGTACACAAGGGAGTCCTTGTTGAATGGTGAGAAAATCTGGAATTCTGTTTTAAATAAACTCTAAACTAAATTATTAAGTGCTGTTGGATACTACTGTAAAGCGACACCTGATATTTTTGTTTTTGTTGCTGCTCGCTGTAAAACCAGTGACCCTGCCATGAAACAGTTCCTTCTCTACCTGGATGAAACCATGGCCTTGGGAAAGAAATTCATCCTCAAGGACCTGGACGACACACATCTCTTCATCCTGGCAGAGGTGGTTCAGACCCTCCAGGAGAGAGTGGGCGAGTTGATGGACCAGAATTCATTCCCGATAACACAGAAGTGAAGAATGGGTGTTCTTGGACTCCCAGACTGTTAAAGACTATTTTGTAACTGCTGCAATGTTTTAAATGGACACTGTAAGATGGCATTTACTTTTGTATTATAAATGTGAAGAAATCAAGTAAAAGATTACCCCACATTTACGTTGGCACTTGACATCTGTGTGAAAAAAAACGTGTCACAGAGTAGCTGTTTACCAACAACTAATGGTCTCCAGCATCGAGGGCTGGTAATTCAAATATGTTCCACAAGAGGGCGGAAAAAAACGCCTTTTCTTTTCCAGGATTTAAATTTAAGTGATGCTCAAGTATAACAACTATCGGAATAATGGCACATTTCTATTTATTTTATACACATTTACATCTAATTGAATGGGAATATTGGTATTTTGATTAAAATTGATAATACTGTTGTATTTTACATCGGAGTATTGTATATAGCAGGGTCTCCAGCGCATAATAAAACATGATTTCATTATGTAATTATTCAAGTTATAAGATGTCCAGCGCATAATAAAACATGATTTCATGATTTTTTACTTCTTTTAACGTATTTCCGTATATAAAGAAAGGATTAGACAATTATTTTTAAAAAAAACTATTATTTTGTAAACTGCACTTCCACGGCGAAAGGCATGGATGCTTTTATTCTGAAGGAACAAAGAAGAAGTTACCTCTACGTGAACCTTAATCACTTGACGTAGAAGCCATCTGATAACCATGGACGAGTATCAAACAGAAGAGGAGGTATAGTAGGATTGAGCTTAAATCTGGTCACGTTCATGCTAAACTGCCACACAATCACAGTGATGAAAGTTTGTCTTTAGGGAACAACGATCGTTGTGGCTTTATAAATTAAGCAGTCGCTAGCTTAAAGATTGCACTGTTTTTGTTTTTCTCACACAGACTGCGTTCATCGTAGAAGACGTGAGCAAAATAATCAAAGAGGTAACAGTCGAATGCTTCGTATCGTTTCCCCTTGGAAGTTTTTTAAGCTTAACTTATGAATGTTGCCAACTTTGTATTTCAAGGTTGTTTGTTAAGGAACGCAGCCGGTTGCTAGGCAGCGACGGCACAGGCATACATACGTTGTACAGGCCTATTTTGAAGAAAAAAGAAAACCCAACAAAAAACAAACTGATTAAATACTTTGTGTAGTCAGTAGAAGCAGCCATTGGAGGAAGTACTTACCAGCACAGCCGTGTGAACCAGTGGACGACCAGTGTGGTGGAGCAGTGTCTCAGTCAACTCAGCAAACTGGGAAAACCATTCAAATACATTGGTTTGTATTGATGCTCAGTAACAAATCTCCATCCATCAGTGCCGGTGTTAATATGCATCACCTGGTTGTTCTTTCAGTCACCTGTATCATCATGCAGAAAAACGGAGCTGGCCTGCAGACAGCCAGCGCCTGCTTCTGGGACAACTCTACAGACGGTAAAATGAATCATTATATCATTGAAAATACAGTTCTAAACTATCACACACTGGGAAAATTACAGGCACGGATTCACAGATGACGTTGATGCTTATTTACTATTAATCTACATCTAACAGGAAGCTGTGCAGTGAGATGGGAGAACAAGTCCATGTACTGCATTGTCAGTGTTTTTGGCCTGGCCATCTGAGACCATGGAGTAGAGTCTGACCCTGATTGTAAGACACAGCATTAATCCATGTAAATAAATCCATACATACTTGTCTAGTACTAACCAATACAGGACCAGTTATGAATACAGGTGTTGTCTCTTATTGTTTGCATTAATTGTAAATGTCTGACTTTTTTTGTTGTTATTTTATAAATGCTCTAAGAAGACTGTGCTGTGTGCATTAGTTTTATTTACATTTAAATATGACAATTACAGTTCCACGTGTTTTTTCTGTTAGCAATAAAAAAAACATTTGTGTGTATAATTACAACATTCTCTATGAACCATCACCGACAGAATCAAACATGTACATGTTAGATCAACAGTATTTACGAGTTTAAGACTGAAACCGTTTCAGAAGACAACTGATTCTCTGACAAGGCACAGCTCAAATGTTAGTCTGAGTGAAGATTCAACACAAGCACGTTTCCATCCACAAACTTCAGTTTAAAGTCAAAAGAAATAATTTCTACAAAAAGCAAATGCACATGGCCAATAGCACAGGAGCTGTAAGGTAAAGCGGTGAGAAATGTTTCAATAGCTCAGTAGTACATGAAGGTAAGGTCATTAAAAAAGACACTTCATTAAATACCAACAAAATGATCAGATAATACAGTGTCAAACATTGTCACTTTCTCGCACAATAAATTAAATGTTTTTCATAAAAGTGCAAAAACAAAGCTGTATTCTGAGAGAATATGTGATCAGGAGTGAAACAATACTAGTGGCACTGTGTCCTGGTAAAGCTCTCTGCATTTTCACAATAACACCTTCTGATGACAGTCTGTCAAAAGCCAACATTATTTACACAGATGGTCTGAGAGAAAAACATTTACATGAAACAACAGTGTTTAAAAATAGTTTCTTAAAAAATTAGAAACATTTCCAATTATTCCATTGTTCATTTCTTTTCAATAATATTTAACTCAAATATGTGATCGTGCGAGTCACATGATAACTGGCTCATTTTATTTCATGAGGCCAAGTTTACATGTATACAGTACACATGTACTTTAAGTTGTGCCCTACTATAGACCAAGGAGGAAAAACCTTCAGGGAAATTACAGTACATTCAGTAGATTTTTAAAAAATATATATATTTATGTACACTTACAATAAATCTTTCAAAACACTACCCATTGAAATACTCCCTATGTACACACACGTGAATGATTGTGGGTTTTTTTTTTTTTCGTAGGAAATCTTGTAGTTTTCAGGAGGCGGAAAAAAAAAAATCACAGGTTTAGTCACTGTCGCTGTCATCGTGGTACTGAGCGGTGGCTTTGATGGCCCGGCCGTTTTGTAAAGGCATGTCTTCATAATCACTCCTACACAAAGACAAACAAACAATCAATAAATAATGAATAAATACATTAGAAAAATAGATTTATCTGTTTTTTCCCCAAACAGATTTGAAAAACCCACTAACTGTGGGATGTTCATACCCATAAATGACTTCATCATCCGAGTCATTCAGCATAGAGAAAGCAGGATTATCCTTCAGCTGTGCATCTGAGAAGTGAAACCAAACCAGGTGTTATGATGCATTAGATCATTAACCACAGTACAGAGGAGGTGCAAGAATACAAAGTTAATCGATTTTCAAAGTAGAATTATACATTTTTTTCTTTCTCTGAGGTAAAGGTCACAATTTGGATTTTCTAATTTTATCTTTGCTTTTCATTTTAATAAAAATAAGGATTCAAAATTTAAATCAAAATTCTAACACTTGGACAAAACTCTGAAAGTTTATATGTCACCGTCCTATGCAAACCTCTCAATTGAAACAATGATTTAGAAATAGTAGAAGCTGCTTTAGTTACCATAAAGTGCATTTTTGGAGGGGGAATACACAAAGGCTAATGTGTACAAGTAAAAGTTGAGGAGCCCATAGAAGGATAAGAACTCAGCTGGTATGTCAGGAGTCAAGGCAAAAAAACAAAAGCAACTCCGGTACTGTGGCAACACAGTACCACAGTATACTATAGAGAAACAAATTATATATGCACACATATATACAAATACATATATATTCATAAATATTCATGAAGGATATAGTTCTGGTAATGAGTTGACAGAGCAGCCACAAAGTTGTCTTGAAGAGCCTTGGCACCAAACCTCAAGTAGAGAATAATCATGCTGACAAAAAAGGCAACAAGAATAAATTAATAAAAAGAACCACACCAATTATAAGTATGTTGTTTTATAAAATATCTGTCAAAACACCTTATGACAAGAACAACAAATGTCAGCCCTGTCAAGAACTTGAGCCTCAGATCTGAAGATTAAAAATACACAAAGGGTATGAAATAAGTAAAATAGTAAATACAAGTGTATTCAATTCAGTGCAGTGTGGTGTAGTGTTACCTCCCACCTGAGTAAGGCATGTTCTTGAGCTCGGAACACGCTCTGAGAATCAGGAACATCAGGTAGAGGATGTAGAGAACAACAACGATAAGGAAGAAGATCTTCATGCCCTGGAGAAGAAATGTATTTGTAGTAGATAAGAAACTTAAGACAAGCTAATGTTTAAACAGTAAAAATATTCTAGATGTTCCAAAGGGGAGTGTCACCTAGAGCTGAAATTAACCAACATTCCTAAATAAATAAATAATTGTATAAAGTAGCAATAATACAATCCTACATCATTGATTTATTGACTGTGTGTATGGATTATCCATCATCATTACCTAAAAAAATGATCTTAAACACTGTACTGACAGTCTTCAGAGGCAACCATCTCACCTGGAAGTTTGCGATGTCCACCTTGTACTGATATGTGGGGTCCCGCAGCTCGTTAACCCTAAAATAATAATAATAATGAAAAAAAAGAGGGAGACAATTTTTAATGCAGTGGCTATAAACAATTAAAAAACGAGTCGCTGCACTGCAGAGATCTTTCTTACGTTTGCCAGATACCCAATGTGACAGCTGAGAGCCACAGCAGACCTACGATGATCAACTTGGGCAGGTAGAAGGTCAAGCATTTCCTTTCACCCTGTGGAATCAACACAAACTGCATGAATAGAAAACAGTGACAACTTGAATGGTAGGTGTAAAATTACGGGATCAATCCAAGACCAACCTGAACCCTGATGCCATGGTAGACGCAGAGCCAGAAGAGCAACAGAGAACACAGGAACAGAGCCTGGAAGAAAGCATCCAGCGTGCCTGGAAACCAGCTGTTCACCAGGAAAGAGAGCGGGAAAAACGGATCTGAACACCACAACAAATAATGAAACATAACCAATGAGTTTCCCTTTTAGTAAATAAAACAGTTCAAATGAATCAAAACTCAAACAGTAACATTTTATGTGGCTGTAAGAAAACTAGTGCAGTACTATGATGGCCCAAAGGTAAGATATAAGGGAAATAACTGTGTGAATAAATACAACCCACCGTTGTAGAGCAGCAGCAGTGGCAGCAGGAAAGACATCCATTTTTGCTCTATGCCCCAGTCCCTCATTGAAAATTTCCTCAGAGAATGTGCAAACATACACTGGATAACACAAGAGGAAGTTTCTATTCAGCCTGCTGTCCGAAAAAGTCTGTTTTGTGCATGGGACAAAAGACAATTCTTACCGTCACCATGAAAGTCAGGACCACAAAGACAAAGCGGAACCAGATTTCCACTTGTGAGAAGGTGGGATTATAGGTTTTCCACTGGATAGGGAAATAAAAACAAAAAAATAAATTAAAAACTTTACAAACCCAGCAGCACCAATACAGACACAGGGGAAATCCTGTGGGTGTCTGTCACCTACCACAAACTTGACCTTGATGTCATATGTCATGTTTTCCAGGCCTTTGAAACTGACGGCAGCCCGGTACTGAGTGTAGTTCATGTAGCCCAGGTGGAGCACAATGATCTCATCACATTTCTGTAAGCAATAATAATTAAAGTCACTTTTAGGGTGGACGGACAAATGTGTACAACGTTTACACTGACACGGGCACCATGATTGATAAGAATGGTGATGAGCTCTTACAGCCCCACAGTGCAGTTTCCGGGATTTCTGGTAAACGTTGATGTACATCATGCTGGCTTCCTGCATCACTCCCTTCAGATCCACGATGATCTCAAAGGGCTGTAGGAAGTCTCCCACTAACACAGAGAACCAGGGATAGTTAGCAAAAATTAACCACAACCAACAGAGATAATTAGAAAGTTGGTAAAAAATTAGTGCGTGCATGTGTGTGTGTCTGTGGTCTTACTGTTGCTGTTTTCAGCCTGCATCACACAAGTGAGCCATAGCTGCTGGTTGTAAGTTGTGAGAGGAGGAGACACTAGATCGAACGGTCCAGTCTGGAATCGTCCATAAGGCCATCATTAACAAACAATGTAAAAAAAACAATACAAATAAATAATAACTATATTAAATTCAGTACCTACCTTAGTTGAGACATTTTTCCCTATCACTTGGTCCCCATTATGCTCCTGTTCAATGATAATCCGAGGACCTATAGATAAATATATTATTACTAACCTAACAGGAAATTCTTGAAACTTATATTCTGAGGACCTTGAATGTATGGCCAGAAGGCCAGTATTCCATTTGTGTCAGAAAACAAAGTAAACAAAAGGAGGAATTCTCATCAGTCTTGTTCTTATCAGTGTTTGTGTGTGTGTGTGTGTGTGGGGGGGGTGTATTTAACATTTCTAAGAAGTTACACTTGTAAACAAAAACAAAACTGTCAATGTTTCAATAAGACGATTTGTATATGTGATGACATCACTCTTAACCATCACAGATATGGCTGTTTTGCTTTAAACCTATCATTTCTTGAAATAGAATTTGTTCCTCAATTTGTGTAAGGACAAAAGCACAAGTAAAACTGAACTGTTTAGTGTGAAACCAAGTGCAGAAGAACAGTTCATGTGCTTTTAACGTGCTAGATCGATTATCAACGCTCGATGATCAAAAGCGGTGTCATAAGATACTGCAAATCATGTGGCAGGATGAACTATGGCACTGTCTGGTAGTGTAGTGTTTTAGTGCTGCAGCAGAGGTGCTTTGACAGGTTTACCTGCGATACCGACGAAAACTGTGAGGCCGAAGCAGATGAGGAATACTACGAAGACCAGCACAAAGTGTCGTTTGGACAGGCTGTAAAGCCGCATGGGTGCCAGCCTGTAACATAAACACATGCGGCCCTGTTAGTGAACTTTAGCTAACTTACAGCTTCAAAAGGAAACAATAAAAAAAAAACATTTATTGAATTTACTTGAATTTGGCTTTGGCTGCAAAACAGGTGCGCAAATGACAAAACCGCTAGCTTCTATGCTATTTTAAAACAGCAGTGCCAAGAGTCAGAATGGGTGAAATAGATATTAAATGATACTTTTGAACTCGTGTGTAACAGTGGCACATTCACTAATGTATCCAGTGAACTAATGTCATACTCACCTCTCCATTGTGTAAGTTCTTTAGTCGGTGTTACCCGAGAAAACGCGATATATGTATCCGTACTGCTACATCCGTGTATGCACAAGAGTGCAACGTCACTGATGGGGCGGCAATATGGTGACGCAAAACGGAAGTGCAATGTGAAAAGGGGGCGTGTCTGAAAGGCCAAGGAAAATAAATTCGAAGGTCTTAAATGTATTACAATAAAATAATAAAAAATAGGTTTTCACTGCATACAAAGACTAAATTTAAAAAGTGAAACATGTCAATATGTCTTTTCTTTTCTGCTATTCTCAAAACTCATTTACATTTATTTTAATTACGGATATTTTATGATGTTGTTTTTATACACGACATTTTGGGGTAACGTAAATAATCCTCCGATGGCCTATATTTGGTATATAAGTAAGTCCTGCAGTTTACTTACTACCAAATTCTTAAATTCAAAAACACGTTGGAAATTGTGACCTCTCCATTCACATTGCAAGATCACAGACACATTTCCCTTTCATTCTGAAACGATATATATACAGTATATATATGTATATATATATATATACATATATATACTGTATATATATCGTCGATGTCAAGATCATCGACATCACGTCTTTTCATGAATAAAGAATGCATCTATTCTACTTTATTTGTTAATAATTTAGTCAGTCATGTTAAAACTTGGCCATTGCTACTACAAATTAGCCACAATAGCTATGATCATAATATAACAGGCCCTAAATGAAAACGAGACGCGTTGCGGTTTACAACCGCAAACAGCAGGGTGATGACAGTGTGATGATGGTGGAAGATGAGCAGAGGCCCACCTGTAAAAGCGATCATCTTTGTAAGGAGTCAGATCCTCCTTCAGCTCGTTGTAGGCCTCTTGGATCTTTCTGCAGAAGTATTTCAGCTCGCTGTACAGAGGGTTTTCCAAACCAGAAGTGTAGTCGGTGTCCATTGTCAACGATAACCGAGAATGGAGGTTAAAAATGGCGATGTAGGAAACAACCAAGCCCTCGGCCTCTCACAGAAAAAGCAGAGTCGCGCCGGTATTGGTTGCCGCTTTTCATGAAATATACATATGAAAGGTGGTTGTTTCGTCTGCGTCCGTTCAAAGGAAAACAAAAACCTGTACAAAAGAACAAGAGAATGAGAGCACCTTCAGTTGGGTGGCGGTCACGTGACGACACTTTCAGGACCACGGACAGCTACAGATAAAGAGACAGTACAACGCAATTAGAGATCACGTGGTTTTCTCTTAACACCCACACAACTGATTTAGTCTTCATGTCACGTCATTAAATGTAAATTTCTATACGAAATGTATTAGTATTGGTATATTAAGGTGAATGCAAAGTAGTATTTGAGCCCAAAGTGAAACACGGGGGTACAACGAAATTGAAATACAATGTTTGTACAAGTCTTAGAATCCAAGCTATTGTAGTGAATAAATCAGACACGGTAGTAAACATTTTTTCTGAAACAATGACATTTTATTCAAAAGATGCTTGACATATATAGTTATAAAATAATTTACATGGCATGCCTTACTATCCATTCACTATAAACGTTCAGTCACCAAACCAGACTCAGTTTTTTAAGTGATTTTTTTTGTCATTTGAGTCTACATCTACAAATACAAAGCACAGTATCTTCTCTAAACAAAAGCCAAAATCCTACAATATCTACAACAGGTTGTCTCAAAAAAATCAGTTTGAAGTGAATTGTTGACCTAAGTCCAGAAGCAACTCTGAACAAGAACTCAGTGGCTTTTACCTGTAAATGGATGAGTGTGTGTGCACATACACACATATGAAGAGAGGCTTTACACTGTTGGGATTGGTAGACTGCACAGTGGACTACAGACACACCTTGACTTGACAGTTACACTCTACGTGACTAGTCTACCAGCTACACTAAACCGGGCACTAACTCATTCACATCTTTTTCATTCAGATGCAAACATCACGAAACACAGACAAATGTTACCCCTCCCGACCCACCAATCCCACATTTGGATCATAAAACATGAGCTTCATTTTGAAAAAAAAAAAAGAAAAGGTTTTTTTCCCAAAACAAAAAATGTTCAGAAACTCCACAAGTATAAAACATATTCATATCTCCTTTAGGAAATAATCTCATAAATTAAAATATACAGACCAGCAACTGAGAGGCTGAGCCAAATCTACAGTATCAAACTGTGGTCAATTGATAAAAAACAAACAAACAAACAAAAAACAAAACTAAAATAAATGATGACAAAGGACTTTTTCCCCTCAAAGAAAATATTGCACAACTAACACAAATGGTGAGAATTTTATGACATGCTATTATATTCAATTGTCTTAGTAGTGATTCTTATTATCTCTACTTTTTCAAACCCTCTTCTGACAAACATGCATTTTGGTGTAGTATGGACACGCTAATGTGTACAATCTCCTAAATTCAAGAAACTACAGAAGTGTATGGCATCAACTTAATAAATAAAAACGTTTCTGAATTAATAAGATAATTAATGCACATAAAAATTGAACTGCTTATCAATTTGGTCTCTTTTTTTTAGTTAAAAATGTTTATTTCAATTTTAACCAAAAGGGACAAAATTCTACAAATTCAAAATCAACAAAAATGATCTTATTTATTCAGAATTTGTTTTCAGAGAATGCAATACACTCCTGGACAAGACCAAAGCAGATGGTCTGAAATAATTAATTAATGTCTTTCTCAGAAGACATTAATCCCACCTTTTTCCCTATTTCTCCAATTCTGATTTCGGCAAATTCATATTTTGGCACAAATGATCAAGGTGACCTCTACAGGTAAGGCCTTATCTCAACAAGTCTAAACATTACCGCCTTTTTCCAGAGTATTTGGCTGTTAAGAGTATTTGCCTACAGACAGATATGGTGTCGCACAGGTAAAGTGTCACTGCCTTACAGAAAACAATAACCAGCTTCTCAGAGTTCAGTGTCAGCTTGCTATGTGAAAAGATTTCCATAGCTTCATCCTTCATTGGAACTCTGATTTCAATGATTCAGTGACAAAGATCTCAGCCGGCAGCTACAACTATTTTCTGAGTTTGTCGCTGTATAGTTTAATAGTACTACAGCTTCACTTTACACCATGTGAAAGTCAACCGACCTTTGCAAAGTCATCGCGGTCTCTGCATCTAAACAGTGCTGATATGTATTTACACAACGTCTGAAAAGAGTATGAAATGGCAACAATGGAATATACAAAAATATTTCCTGTACCTTGCTTTGACATGTTCAGTGTAGTCTATAAGAGCAGGGACAGCTTCCCCCAATGACAAACGCACTTCACAGAAGTGACAGCAGGTGACACATCACTTCATCCCAGAGATTAAGTTGTTCGATCGCCCATGTCACCGTACACAGACACTTCTTACTAAGAACAGGAGACGTCAGTCCGAACTATTCCGCACAACCTCAGTACTCCATACTACACAGCAATGTTCATATTCAGTTTCCAGTCCCTCAAATAAAGCAAGGAAAATGTTTAACTGACGGGGTTTAAAGATCGTGTAACACAAAGAATGCTAATGCTGTAAATTTAAGTTCGACAAGACAACAAAATGTACATAAATTAATAAATGAAACAGAGAAACCTTTTTGTCCTTCATTGTCCCAGGAAACCAAGGGAAAACGACTCTATCTCAACTCGAACACTCATTGACAGTGAAAAAGTGTCAACTCTGAGCTGATGCATATATCCTAAACTCAATTTCAGCCCAGGTAGACTGAGCAGAAGGAATGGCAGAGAGAAAAAACAAAACAAAAAAGGCCGTCGTACCCCCCACCATTTTTAGTCAATAAAAAAAAAAAAAAAAATCTAGTGGTAACTGATTCACTGAACTTTGTACAGCAATGGATTTCAGTGCCCAGTAGTACCTGTGCTCTCTGGATAAAAGAAAATTCTCTCCAGAGTGGTTTTCAAGTATTACTGCTGCCCCTTTAAAAAACTACATCCTGACATTTTCTCTCTCGTCAGACAACTTGTTCTCTTGTTTTTACATGACTTCTACCTAAAGCAGCATTTATTTGCATGACGATTACCAAAGCCTGACTCTTTGGCTCTACATGCACTGCAAGGTGCCAGCAATTTCCAAACAGAGAAAATCTGGGGCTCCCCTTGGTAAATGCAGCCAATGCTTATTGCACCAATTCTAGTGGCAGCATTGAGTAGTGCAGCATGATTGTATTTCTTTCTTTGACCAGGGCATTTTTTTCCTCTCTCAGAAATCAAAGATCAATAATCTCAAATGAAAACACAGGTGCCCCCTTTTAACAGATTGCATACAAACACAATCAAAGTCCAACACACAGCTCAGGGAAAGTAGAGATGGGAGGTGTCATTTTAGGCGTTGAGTGACGTTGGCCAGAGCCACAGCGAAGGCCTGAACAGCTGAGAAGGGATACTGAAAGTCCAGGATGTAAGCATTGCCATCAATCCTGCCAAACTGCATCACCTGTGCACAAAAAACAACATAAGGTCAGACTTTTTGGAACCATTCTATTTACTTTTTGATCACTTTATTTAAGAAATTATTCAAAAGGCAAGTGTAGTATCACTGACCCAATTTCAAGTGCTCATATCGACCAAAAGAAACCTCACCTGTCTACCTTCCAGTTCAATTTGAAAGTTTTTGGCAGATTCCTGGGTGACACGCCCTCCAAAGTCCAGCTGGTAGACCTGTGTGGCTTCATTCCACAGCGGCTGCTTGTTGGCCATGATATAAACAAAACCTTGGCTCCCCAGGCCTCTGTCCTCTTTCTCGTTGGCTTTTCGACACTTGATCTCATCAAAATCGTTGGCAGCTCTGAGGTTTCTCTTGCTCTTCCACCCCTTCTTGCTGCTCTGGCACTGATTGAGTAGTTCGTCCCCACTGATGAACAGTTCTGGTTCACTTTCCGAACTGTCCTGGAACTCACTGTTGGCAGTGGCCTTACTCAACTTCTTGGTTTTCAGCTGCTGCTCCTTCTGTCCCTTTAACTTCTTCTTGTCCCTTCCTCCAAGTCGAGGACTGGAGATGAGGGAGTTAAAATCCCCCAAAGCTCTGCCCTCCTTCTTGGTCTTGCCCCCTTCAGCAAGAGGAGGAACATTAGCCTCGTCAGTGCGACCATCCCCGCGTTTTCTATTCTTCTTGCCGAACTTCTCCGACCGTTGTGGTACCGGGCTCTCAGTTAAGGACAGCACTTCCTGAAAACCATCTCCTGCTTCTCCAATATTCTCTGGTAATCCTCCATGGTTCTGTAATTCTGCTGGTGGTAGTGGTGGTGGTGGAGGAGGCGGTGGGGGGGGAGGAGGGGGTGGTGGGGGAGGAGGGGGGGGGGGGGGAGGCGAGAGAACCTTTTTGTCCGCTGTCATGTGGGAAGCTTTGGGCGGAAGCGGCACTGCAGGACTGGGCATAGGTGGACAAGAGCTATAGGTACCCCAAGGAGTGTGGAGAGAAATTGGAGGGATAGGAAGCCCAGAACACGAGCTTCCTCCTGGATACATGGGCGGGAGTGAGCAGCAAGCCAGGTTTGCAAGGTTAGCAGGATAACCTGGCGGAAAGACGATGGTTGCATCCTGCTGTGAGATGGGCACAGGTGCCATTCCCTCCTTTGTGGAGGAGCTTGGGTGTGGGGAACCAGAGTAGGCAGAGGCTGGAGGGTACTGGAGTGAGATCTGGTAACCTGCAGCTGCTGCTGCAGCTTGAAATGATGCAGCACTGGGGGTGGAGGAGGACTTTGGAGAAAGCACAAATGGCAGCCTTGACATATCCAAGTGCTGAGTGGGGCTAAGAATAGGTGGGGGTGGTTTGTGGGGTCCGGAAACACCAGGGGCATTTAATGCTGCTGTTCGCTCCTGAGGAACCCACACCTCCTCTGTGGCAACTGGGTCCCACTGATAAGGAGGTGGGTGTTTGACAACAAACCCTGATGCATCATTACCTCCTAATGACAGATGCCTCAGAGTCTGATTCAGTGTCTCATCTTCACTATATGCAGAATTGACATAATCAGTCCTGTCTCTGGCACTGCCTCGTGCTGCTCCAGCCCCAGATGCCTCATAAGAGCTGAGTAGGTTGTAAGACGACTGAGAGGCCAGAGCAGCGGAGCTGTTCGAGTGAACAATTACTGTGCTGTGTGGTGCCCCGTTTCTAGGAGGAAAATCTTGTCTGATAATTGTCCCTCCTGCAATCCCGTTGGCACTTCCTGGAACAGTTCCACTAATACTTGATCCACTGCTACACTGACTGCAGGTATATAAGGCGGTGGGAAATCTCTGTTGAAATGAGGCTGCTAGTGCACTGTTTTTAGCCTTGGGGGGCAGTGGTCGAGGTGGTTCCAGCATTTGGGAAACTTTAAGAGCAGCCTCTCGGCTGTTCCTCCTGAGAGTGGCGTGGATCAGGCTGCTGTCGAGCCTCTGTCCGGGATTTCGGCCAACGGCACTGTTCTGGTTAGCCGTGTCAGGATATGGGGGTGGGTCTCCACTGGGTATGGAATAGCGAGGTGCAGTGAGTCTGTTGAGAGTGGCAGAAGTGTAGGGTAGTTGGACCTTCTTATCAGAAGGGGAGGACGATGAAGAGGTGACCCTGAGAGTGGCAGAACTGCCAGGTACTTGGAGCGAGTAGACGTTCTGATTGCAGATGAGTCGGGTCCGAGGACGACATACTTCCTCCACGTTTCCACTGCTGTCAAACGTTGTTATCCTTTCATATCCCAGCGGTGTGGGGTACTGTGCTTGTTGCTGTCCCGAAGGATAGGATTGAAAGTCTCCCTTCTTCAAACAAATGTCACCAGCAGGAGGTGGAGGTGTCCCGCTGGTGCCTCCACCTGCTCCTGATGTTGCATTGGAAGCGGCAGAGGAGGCCGATGCTGCCATAGCAGCAGCCGCAGAAGAAGTTGTCCCAGGATATGGAGGTGGAGGGTTCATCTTGCTGAGCTCCAGCGGGGCACTGAACACCACTGTATCACCTTCGGCCAGCTGCGGAGCAGGCCGAGAGGTTTTGATTTTCAGTAGGTGCTCGTGTTCGCTGCCCACTGCTCTCTCAACCACTAAATCAGCAGGTGGATGAGGGATCTGTATCTGCAGCGCCCCTGGCTGTAAGTGGTGCACAGCCACACTAGTAGGCTGCCCTGAAGAAATTGATGGAACAGTGAGTTGCAACTGAAACTGCTGCTGGAGCTGCATCTGATGCTGAAATTGTTGATGGTGTAATTGTTGTTGTTGGTACTGAATTTGTTGTTGTTGTTGCTGCTGCTGCTGCTGTTGCTGTTGTTGTTGTTGTTGCTGCTGGTGCTGTTGTTGTTGCTGTTGCTGCTGCTGCTGTTGTTGTTGCTGCTGCTGCAGTTGCTGTTGTTGCTGTAAATGATGGTGGAGTTGCTGTTGATGATGTTGCTGCTGCTGCAGGTGCTGGAGCTGTTGGATGTGCTGTTGAAAGTGTTGCTGCTGAAGCATCTGCTGCTGCTGTTGGAGCTGTTGTTGGTGCTGAAGTTGTTGTTGTTGTTGTTGTAGTTGTTGTTGGTGCTGAAGTTGTTGTTGTTGTTGCTGCTGCTGCTGCTGATTTTGTTGTTGTTGCAAAGAATGGTGAGAAGGTGGAGGTCCAACCATTAGACGGCCCATTTCTAGTCCTCCAAAGATCACTTGACCAGGACTAGAGTACCTAGTAGGAACTGTGTACTGTGCTGTCAGCATGGTGTCCTGACTTTGGTCTGAGCCACTGGCAGCTGCACCAGCAGGGGGCGCAGTGGGATTTGTTAAAACATCAAGTTGAACATTCTGATTGGCTAAAAGTGACTGGACTAGGCCAATGCTTTGAGCAGGGGACATGGCCTGAGCTGGACTATGAATGGGAGCAATAGGGATGTTGACAGTGCAAGGGGGATTGTCATCAGCACCCCCTGCAGGCCCCGTAACAGGCAGGTCATCCTCATCCTCACTAAAGACGTTGGGACTGAAGACGGGCAGATTGATGTAATCCAAGGAGATCTTGCGCACCTCTGGCAGGTAGATGGTCATTTGTCTAGGCTGCAGATGGAGGAGGCTCGTCTTGTAGATGACTGAAAGAGCAAATTAAAAGGATTCAACTTTAAATGCATAACACGTCGCCTTTATAATGGCTAGGAAAAATAAGGTGATTGTTTACCTGCTCCTAAATTAGTTGGCAAGAATGCAGCCAGCCCAACTATCTTGAACTTTGTTCCCCAAATATTAGAGGTGACCTGAGCGAGGTAATTTTGCTGAAATGAACAAGCAAGAACAAGATTATCTTTGAGCTCAAAGATATAAACTCTGAGACATTTTTCAGAATCTATGCCTGATGTTTACCTGAGTGATATCATCCAAAGGAAATTCCCTCCGTGCCAGACTGGGTGAACCGATTGAGGGTTTGCGTATAGGTAAGCGCGGTGACCTCGAGATCTCCTGTGTAGCCCGGGATAATTTAGGTGATTTCCTGGGATCAATGTTGATTCTGTTGGTAAAGGGACAAACTAAGTCTCTACAGAGAAGGTAGCAAATAAAGAAAACAAGTTTAGGCATGCAGTAAAACACAAAAAGGAATATTTAAATTAATCACCGGTGCAAGGGTTAATATAGGAACAGAAGTTTTCCAGATAGGATTAAATATTATATTATTCTACAGCAGCATTAACACACAACAAAACCTTCTTGACATAAACTTGAATACTCACCATGTTAAGAACTCTTTCCTGTTATTATTGAAAAGATATTTTAAAAAAGAGTGTTCGTTGTGCACGACATTTCAAAACAGGTATCTGTTTACCTGGGTAATTTAGGGGACTTGCTGCCCCTGGATATCTTTGGAGACTTCTTGCCGACCCAGTCATCGTTCAGCTCAATGTCACTGGAGTCAGAGCAGTTACAGCTGTCAATCATGGCAGATATCAGGCTGCTGCCGTATATCTCATCTGAGGACAGGAAATAGGGAGGATTGTTAAAACAACAGTAAATGATCAAAAAAACAGAGAGTTTTTTTTATATAGAAACCATCCAATTCCTCAACTGCTGGTCTTTTTAGGTCAGTCTAATTTATCTGAATGGACTGGAGCCATTCAATGGGTGGCTTCATTTATCACAGTGTAAGGAGAGAGAGAGAGAGAGAGAGAGAGAGAGAGAGAGAGAGAGAGACATATGACATATGAGGAACCCAGGGGCCATTAGAACTCCCATTAAGCAGCTTTTAATTAACATGGGCCACATCTGTCCTCTGTGTATAAAACATACTAATTCACTTCCCAACAGTACTACCAAGGATAACCATGAACTCACTGGAGCTGTTTTAAAAACATAAATATTGATTTATGTTGCCAACATGAAGGAAACTGAGTTGTACCTGTTTTCCCATCAGTTTTTGGGTCCATGATGACAAACTCTGGTCGCAATTTACTGATTCTTCTGCCCTTGAGGATTGGTACCAGACCCCCCAGGTACTCCAAATACAGAGTGAAGCACGGCCCCCCCACCTCGGGGTTATCCTCCGTGCGTTTCATGGTACAGTGCAGACGCTCGTTCCCAGATGTTGGATAGCTGACAAAATCACGCATGTTGTTGGGATCTGGGATTGGAGGCTGAAAGACACACATTTTAATATTTTAGAGGGTCTTGAAATAAACTAGAGCAAACTTCATTCTTCATCTGTCCCCTGTCAGTTTCATGAAGGTTGTTCGTCATTCCACAGCAGTCGCACACATCAGCTAAATTTGCTGGAAACTCATTACTTTCATTTACATGGATTTATGGCTTATAAAGCTTATGTTACCTTAATGGTGGGACTAAAAGCAGAAGTGACATATGAACAGAGGCGAGATGGCATGGTCAGCTTGGCCACGTCTTTCTCCTCCTTCACTGCTGTGGCAATGCCCTGCTGACAGAGGAGCTGCAGGCTGGCGACGCGGTGCTCCACTCGGACAACATAAAGAGCTGGACCACAGGCCAGGAAGAGACGGGTGTCCCTGTGACCCCAGCACAGCGTAGTGATGGGCCGCTGCAGGATAATGAAGCAGATACAGAACCAGTTACATAACTTATTAATGCATACTTTCACAATTTAACAAAGGTGAGGTAAGAAAATATTTTATTTCCAGAGTTGACCGCTAGATGGCAGGATTCAACACTGCTAATCAAGAGTCAAGTTTTGAGACATAAATTAAATCCTGTCCATCTTTGAGGAACCTGAATATACAGTATAACCACACAATCTACAGCTGGTGACCAGGTTTTACGGCACAAATGTTTACCTGTGCTGGCGTGTCCAGTGTGTAGATGTGATCACCCTGGACATTGTAAAACTTTACAATTGCATTCCTGGTGAGGAGAGGACAAGATGAATCAGGGGAAAAGACGGTCCTCTCCATCCCTGCCACTGCCATGAGGTCCCCCTGTGAGCACCATTGAACCACTACATCTACAGCAGGAGGTAAGGAAGAAAAAAAAAATTAAAGACATTTATTATATGAATAATATATATATATATATGTACATAAATATTATATATTTAATGGCTTACAAGCTATTAAGAGACGGACAACTAATAAGTCCATACCTTTTAGATTGGTGTGAATGAGAGTGGGTGAGAGGTCGTCGTAGTTGTTCATCAGGCTGATGTCTCCAGAGGTGAAGCTGACCGTCAGCAGGGGCTTCTGACTGTGCACTGAGAAGAAGAGAATGTATTGGGTGATAAAACTGGCAGAGTGAATTTGTGTGAAACTTTTTCAGACTCAGTTCAATTATTCAAAATTGTGAGGTCACACATAGTTGTGACTATACAGACAATTAAAATGCAATTTTATAAATGCATCCACCTGCATCCCAATATTCCTCATTTTGCATTAAATCTTTACTGTACGTGGACTTTGAGAATGAAACTCAGAATCAGGAAACCTTGTGGTGGTGAGTAGTCGTCGGAGTCTGTTTCACTCTCGCTGCTGTCCTCGACTAGGAAACTAGGGTAGTTCCACGACATGCTGACAATGCCATCTGACTCGTGCAACAGTATGTGGGCCAGCATACGCCCGTGGCAGTCCATCACTATCACCTGTCCGTCTGCAGTACCAAACAACACCTGAGACAGAAACAGGGGAAAAATCAATGTACATTATATGGGAGATTTGTGTGTTTTGGTAAACAAATATAAACCTATGCTTGATTTGAATTGGAATGCAAAGGAGAATTGTGAATTATTACAGAATTTGACCGCTGCATCGTACCCATCCAGAAACAATAAGTATAAAACTTTTTAAGATATACATTTATTTTAAGACAACCATTTGGATGATAAGCTCTAGTGGGCCACATAAAATGATGTTAGCAATAGAGCAACAGTTAGGTGTGAGAGTGTGTGTGTGTGTGTGTGTTACCTGCTGGTCATCAGGCGTCCAGATACCACAGGTGATCTGACTTTCCAGGTTGATCTCGGAGGACCAGTGTCTCTGGCCACTGACTGACCCCACCAGGACAAAGCCGTCACGGTACGAGATGAGAGCCTGGGTGCCGTCGTGGGACCAGGTGAAGTCACTCACCTACAGAGAACAGAGAACAGGACACATGACACTTGGCCTGCAGTAAACCACATCTTAGCTCTCATTGATGTTGGACAATGTGCTCCTATAAAATAGAATCTGTCCTTAAATTGAAGTAAAAATGTTCATTTAATTGAGCTGTTATTTAAAAAAAAAAAAACAACCATCACCTGAGCTCCACGGTCGTTGACCAGCTCCACAGACCACCGACCCTCATATTGGATCCAAACAAAAATTCCTCCATCTGTGTCGCAGGTGGCCAATTTTTGGAAAGGCTCGTTCCATCGCACCAACACCACCTAACACACACACACAACATAAACGAGGGGGGAAAAAATTATCATAAAGAAATGATCTATTAAATATAATGTAGAAGCCCCAGGGCCACCAGCTGATGATCACTGGTACAGAACAAGTACTACTACTACTTACAGTAGAGGCCAGTGTTGCTCAATAACACAACAACACTCGGTTCAACAAACAGTTCATAACCTTCATTGGTCAGTGTTACCACCATTACGTACTCCACCCCTCCTCCCCAGTCCTTCTCCTCCTCTGCCTCTGTGGCATGACTCAGCCTATTACCAGAGGAATAATCTTAAGCAGGGAGCAGCTCTGCTCTCTCGCTCAGCCGACCACGTGTGCGGTACACGTTCAAACACACAACACAGGGCAGGTTTTAGCAGGGTTTACATTTTCTGACAGTAAATCCAACTGATCAGTTATTGCCGAGTGTGGGATCAGCCAGTCTGCCAAGATTACATCTTAACAATTCCCTTTGTGAGACAAAAACAATATTAATATGAATATGTCTCACGTTAATAGTTGCACGCCCCCACTGAGGCCAGCCAACCCCACTTTTGAAACTATTGCTTTAGGCAACAGACAGACCAGAACAACCGGACAGGAAAACTTCCTCATGGCTGAAGTGATAGAAGGCCAGGTTATCCTCTCACTGACCTTACATACATAAGGTCAGCGAGAGACACAAACATGTTTATATCGGTGTAGTATGTACAGGCCTCACGTGTATTAATGTTACAGTCATATTTACTGCTCTCTGACCCAGGTCCCTGGGAAGAAGATGCTCTGAGGGCAGATTTTACCATTTTTAATCCCTGTGGTGAAAATAATAATGGTGCTCCATGGGTGTGTCATCACTTAAAACCATTGGGAACAGGGCACAAGAGACTTGATTTGAAGTAGGTCAACAAGTAACTTCTCTCAAGGTCTCCATTACCTCCTTCTCACTGTAATTAGCAGGGATACCGGGGAACCCTCTAGAAAATGACAACACCACTCCCACTGCGAGTATTTGTTAAGGACTGTTTTTTTTCTCCTCTCCCAGCCTTTCATTAGCTTTACATCATACTAGTACTACAACATGTACCACAGAAGTAGATCCTGCTCCTGAGTATCTTTACTTGTCTGTATTCAAACTGAATGGAGATTCAAAGACTTTGATTTACTTTTTGACCAGGGATATCTAGAAGTCACAGATGACGTAAGTACAAAGATCCAGACTAAAGATATTCCCACAGGTCAAAGCCTCATTTCTACCTCAATTTGAATGAGCCTTATGTTATTCTGTCAAAGCTGATTACATTCAAGTAGAATGAAAAGCAGCCTTAAATCAATCCCTGACACGGACATGCTGCAGAGGTCACTGGGTTTTTTCAATTCATTTCTATAATTTAACATAACTTTGGTGACATTGAATTCTGTGTTGAGAATTTCTCACTGCACTGAGGACAGCCCCGATGGGAACAGATCTGAATCCCACGGAACATAAATCAGCGTAATTATAACAAAGGTTAGCAGTGGAAACAAAAACAAGGCATTAGCTTCACGTTCACTTGAGCTCTTTTTTTTTGTGTAAAAAAACCCTCCCACCTGTATCCTAATTTAAGGTGAGAGAAATGTGCATGGGTAAATTTAGCTCCATGTTTAGTGTACGCTGGTCAGGCGTCCCACACGGTAGACAGCTGAGCCCTCTACTGTGACGCAACAATCTGGGGGTTTACACGTCACATGGAGACAGACGGGATAAGTGTGAGACGCCAGAGTCCACTGAGGGACCTCAGAGTTCACGGTTTGACACATGGACAGATTTCATTTGTTGTATTAATTACAAAATAAAGCAAGGTCAGCAGAACTGCCATGGATGTGTGCAGGACAAGTGAGAAGAAACAACTTTAGCCAAGATAAAGTGTCATTTCATGACTTCGTGTCTCTTTCTTCACCATCAATACTTTGTAAAACATAGAGGACAGTATGTTTTACAAGGACTTTCATTTTGTTCTCTGGCCAGCCATTGACACATTTTGGCCCACTAAATTGGCACCATCTCCCCTCTTGCAGTGCTTGAGCTGTCATCGCTGCAGCTCTAGTCTTTCGCTTGGACTAGAACTGACTCACGACGATATGAACTGACCCCAGCAATTTAACCTAAATTCTAAATGAAATGAAGGGAACAGCTTTGGGTAGCCTTAGAGTCAGCAGAAGTGAGAGGACGCGGTGGCACAGCAGTGTCAAAAGCCCCATGTGGTGCAGTTGTGAACACCAGAGAAGTTTTAAAGACTGAACAGATCAATAACTAAATGCATAAAGATGTTCTAATCCTGGCAAATAAAACACAGCTAGCATTAGAAAGTAACTGTTGAGGTCACTTTGTCCTCATGACAAACATGACGAGTACACCTGGGTGTGAAGAAGCAACTGAGCTCAACTGTTACGCAACATGTGCTCTCAAAGGATGGATTAGCAGACGAAAAGCTACGTTCACTAAGCTCCTTTGCTGAGACAACATTAATGCAGCGCAGGGCTTGTGTACTCCTCTGTCCTGAGCAGGGTTTCTAATGTCAAGAGGTCAGAGCAGCAGGGAGCTGAGGACGCCGCCTAACAAAGACGAGATGCAGTTAAAAAGATGAAGGGAATAAAAGAAAACATTTGAAAGTGAAACATTTTTGGAGCTGATATAAAG